GAGGAGGAGGAGGAGGAGGAGGAGGAGGAGGAGGAGGAGGAGGAGGAGGAGGAGGAGGAGGAGGAGGAGGAGGCGGAGGACAGGAGGAGGAGGAGGAGGAGGAATGTGCCCTCTCGCGCGCCAGTGGCGTGCAAGAGGGCCACCCAGCGCGTGCAGGAGGGCACGCTCCCGCACGGCACCGCGGGCGCGCCACGCAGGCGCGCACGCGCAGCGCGCTCGCGTCTGGCTGCGCGCCCCGCGCCGATCCCGGCGGCGGCCGCAGAGACGCACGCCCGCGCTCGCACTGGCCGAGCCGCACCCAGGGATCCAGCGCAATGAAAACATCAAAACGTTTTCGGCCTCCAGAGGCCGTTTTCGCCGTTTTCGGCCTCAAGAGGTTTTTCGCCGTTTTCGGCCTCCAGAGGCCCTCGCCGGGCCTCGGGAGCGTCGAAGATCGACTCAGGACGTCAAGCCGGTCCTGGAGAAGGGGTCGAGACTTCTGGGGGCCCCGTATGGAACAAATCGCGGCATCGGATCTCTGGGCACGAGCGCACTGCGGTCGCACTCGCGTCTGCTCAGCGTGTCGCCGCGGCGGCCCCAGCGGCACGCTAGTCCTTGCAAGCGGATCGCGTGTCGCTCCGCTCCGCCGGGCGGGAGGCGCGGAAAGGTCCGGGACGTTGACGCCTGGGGACAGGGAAATGGATAGCGTGTCGAACCGAGGCGTGGTGGGCCAGAACTGGCGGCGCGACACGCTATCTACAAGTTCCTGACCGTATGTGCTTTCGCGTGCGCGTCGCACGTGTGCACGCCGACCCTGCGAAGATAGCCATGTGCACTCGGGCGCGCAGCCCCTGCACGTCCACGCGCCCAGCTGCGCTGGCTGCGCCGCCTGCGCCGCCCACGCTGGGCCCGACGACCCATCTAGGAGGAAGTCCGCAGCGGCGGGCAGCGTGAAGGCCGCGGGGGGCCTGAAGCATTTGTTGGCACGCCCCCCCCGTCCCTGTCCTCCTCTTTGATTCTCCTCTTCCTCCTCCTTGATCTGGCTCTGGTGTACGTTTTGGGTGGCTGTGCAAGTGGATTACGAGTGCTGGCCGTTTCGTTCCCCTCAGCTTTGCTCTTTCTTCTTCCAAGAGATGCGCGCAGGGGGGGGGGCGGCGGGGCCTTAAACATGCCCTCCAGGCCGAACCACGGAATGCGGTGGCAGAGCGCCAGCGTGGCGCTGGCAACACCGCGCTTCACGTAGAGCTGCCACACGAACTTGCTCCAGATGCCCTGGATGACCTCCTGGGATGTGGAGCACAGGCCCGTGCATGGGCGCTGAGGGGACGGGAGGGTGCAGGCAGCAGACAACGCAGGGACAGGTAGAGGCAGAACAGGAGACAGCAGCAGCAACAGGACCAGCAGGAGGAGCAAGAGGAGGAGGAGAAGGAGGGGAGGAGGAGACAGAGTCAAACTGGACTGGAAACAGACGTGACACGCGGAACAGCAGAAGTACTGCAACTACCTGAAATGGGAAGCGCCATGCAGCACCATCGCTCAAAGCCTAGGGGACCCATGATCCTGGGGAACGCCTCAAAGTCTTGGGTTCAGGTCTCAAGGTCTTGGGAGCCCATGATCCCGGGTTCAGGTCTCAAAGTCTTGGGGGTGCCAGGTTCTGTAAGTATCAAGGCGCACAGGGTCTCAGAGTATTGCAGCACTTTGGTCTGTCGGTCTGCGTGTCTAGCGCATGAGGGATTGAATGTATTCTGACTCTTTTGGACTTGACGTGGTTGCGAGGCGTCTGGTCTGAAGGACGTGTGGTCTAGCAGTCTGGGGGCCTCGTATGGCCCTCAAAACTGCAACACCACAGTCTTGCGGCTACGCGGTCTTGCGGCGTTCGTGCCACCTGGCTCGTTGCACGTGAGGGTAGTAGGGTCACACGCAAGCTGGATATAAGGTCACGGGGTCTCCGGATGTTCGCTCATTGGTCCTATGGGCTCAACAGCACACGTCGGCGTCATAGCCTTCTGGTTTGAAGCTCCCACGGCCGCACTGCAGTGCTCTCTCGAGGCCAGAGGCCCACGGGCAGGAATGCCTCCAGGCACCCGGGCCTGGAGCCCCGCGGCATCGGCACCTCTCGTCCCCTCCTCGGCACGCCGGGCGGGGGTCTGAACACGAGCTGCATTGCGATCCTCGCCCTGTCTCACGGGCTGCGCGATTCGTCCGAGCACCTGCTCATGCGTCTTGACGCGAGGACCGCCTCAATGCTCCTCCTCCTCCTCCTCCTCCTCCTCCTCCTCCTCCTCCTCGCCGGCCATCGGGAGCGGCATCCTCGTCCATCTGCTGGCCTCCGCTGCGCATGGACTTTGCGAAGCGCTCCCGGGCGTACCAGCACGTGCACAGGAGGTGCGGGGCCAGGGGGACGAGGACCTCGGCAACAGGAGGGGGGGGCAGGGGGCACGGGGAGGCGCAGGGGCACGGGGGGAGTGGATCGGCGGGGCGAAGGAACGAGGGGGGGAGGAGAAGGGAGGGAGAGAGGAAGAGGGAGGAGGAGGAAGAAGGAGAAGGAGGAGGACCTCGGCAGCGGGGGGGGGAGCGGGCACGAGGAGGCGCAGGGGCACAGGGGGAGTGGTTTGGCGGGGCGGGGAACGAGGGGGGACGATTACAGGACGATTACTAACCAGACAGCAAATCCCGCCGATATGCCGCTGGCGCATCTGGGGTTATCTTAACCCTTGCGGCGCACTTCACGCTTTGGGCGCCTGGGGGCATTGGGGGTGCCATCGGGCCACACGGCCTTACCCCTCGATGAGGGGACCTCCCAACGCCGAATTTTATTCAAGGCCTCTTGGCCTGCAGGGGTGGGGTGCCCTTTACACATGCCGACGATGCCCGCCCCCAGTCTACCACCCGTGGGGGTCTTCGAGCCTAGGCACCCACACCTCCAACAAAAAATCTGGCCATACAATATTGCTGCATTGTGTGACTCATGCACCGCCTTGTCCCCGATACTGTATCGAGAGGGGAGGCGCACAGGTAAACCTTGAGACTCTACTCTATGGAACTGGGGTCCTGGACATTTGCCACTGCGAAGCCAGTCCAAAATAGAAAACTTCCCAGGGCCACTCTGGCAGTGGCAACACACCCAGGAGGGGCCGACCTTGGAGACCTGGTGCCCCGAAGACGCTTCCAGAGCCTTCCTTACGCGCCAGGCAGCGGGCGGCACACGGCAGTCCTTACGCGGGCGGCTCTTACGCTCATGGTCGGCACAAGCGGACTCCGCGTTGACTATAGCCAGCCTCCTCTGGACCAACCACACTTTAAATTCAGCACGGGCTAGATCTCTGACCTCTGGGTCAATTTCAGCTGAAACCTGCTCAACTCCTGGTTGGGCGAATTTGTCGGCCAGGTCATTGCCTCGGGAGACACAGGGGGTCTGGACCAGGGAGGCTAGCGAAATTCTATCTAGGTGCGAATTACACTTACTGAGCATCACTCGTCGACCTTGAGCTTCGGAGAAGACCCTCTTCCACCAGCCTCTGAGTTCTCCCGAAGTGTCCGAGGAACCGTGCCAACCGTCGTACACGATCTGGCTGTCCGTGTAGAGCCAGATTGGCCCTTTTGTCATTTTCAAGGCCCACCAGAGGGCCGCCAACTCCGCACACGGGACCGTCTGGGCTCCGTCCAAGCCCCCGCAAGCTCCTGGCCGAGGGGTGTCGGGGTCGTCATTTTCCACACAGGCAGCGGACTGGGCAAAGTAGGCGCCCCAGCCCGCGCGCGCAAGGCGCGCGTCGCTGCTCGAAGCCGAGCCGTCCAGGAAGGCCAGCTTGCACTCGATGCGGTCCTCGAAGTTCACCGTGCCCTCGAACGTGATGACGGTCGGCCCGTCCCAGTCGATGTAGTACGGCAGGCAAGGCGCGCCCCACGAAGGCGGAGGCGGTACGGAATTCCACGTGGATGGTAGTAGCCCTCTTAGCCACAGCTCCAGGCTGGTCCCGTTAGTAATGTCTCGGACTGCTTCATCACATAGCTTGGCACTCTGACGGATCCAAGGGTGGTCCTGACCGCATGTGTGAGGGCAGCTCCAGACGCGGTGGGCCATCGTCTCTTTCTGGCCTGTCGCGCACCTGGTACAGACTCCATCACACTCGTAGCCTTCAGCACGGCAACGATCCTCGGTCCAAATGGTATTGCAAATAACAGCTTCTAGCGATCCAGCTTCCCGATGTGACTCTGTACGTCTCATTCTCTGTAGGGTTCTGCTTGCTGTCGTGAGGTCTGGCGTAGAACTCCAGCCTCCTCCGTGGCGATCTCTGGCCGCCTGCTGCCACAGCTCCTTGATGACGTCCGCCGTGATGGTCGCCATGAGTTGGGTGGTGTCTTCATCTCCGAGTATGTCATCTGATTGCTGACCGTCTGAAAGTGGCAGCTCACGGCTTGCATGCATCTTGTGCTGGTGCGGTTGTTGATCCATCGTCCATTCATTTTGCTGCGCATCCGTCCACGTATCTGGCTCAGGTAGCTGCCATCCTAGTTCCGTAAGTCCCTGGATGAGCGCCGCCATCGGCCCTGTCACCACATTCCAACGTCCTCTGGGTCGTGCCCGCTGGAGTCTCTGTACTGCAGCATGCCAACCTCCTCGTAGTTTGTCATGGTAGTCTGGCCACCGCTTCCACAGCTTAATACATTATGCTACTTGGCGGCGGAGCCCAACAGCTTTTGGGTCCTTCTCGAAGTAGTGCAACAACATCACCATGGATGTACTCCTGCCGCCTGTCGTGTACCCAAGCATGTCTGCTGCTTCAGCTCTGGCACGTCGCACCGCTGTTGGAGACTGGCCTACTGCAGGGACGTCGTATGATGACTTGGCACGGACATTGACTAGGTTGAGCGTGGCCAGCTTCCGTCTACGCTTGCCTGCCCGTTTGAAAACCATGGCTCGGCGTATTCTTGCTCTGGCCGCTTTGCGTCTCTCCGTAGCCGTCGTGGTGCGCCTCTTGCTTCCTCTCGCCATGTCGATGCCGAGGTCACGTACGTACGAGGCTCCTTTGACTGTTGCACCTAGTTGCCGAACTGCTTGCGACACTGTTTTTTTTTTTTTTTTTTCAATACTTGGGTGGGACGCCATCACTGCCGACTTGTCCGACATCTCCAACATGCTCTCAATGCGTCCCTTGACCAGCTCGACCGCAACAGTGGTCAACTCGTGCTTGACCTGCTTGTACGAGCCGTCGGGCCTCGCCGTGACGTCGCCCACGTACTGTCTGGGAAGCGCTCGGGGTACCTGATTGTGAGCTCGTTCCAACACTTCGTATAATAATGCCCTTGCACCATTATTTGCGTTGTTGCACCCTGGTACGATGCTGTTCCCAGGGGTTATCGGTGGAGCGAATGCACCTCCTGCTCTGATCGCTCGCGGAGCGAGGTATACCAGACAGTTGAGGTAGAGCTCCGCGGGGGGGGGAATCGAGCTTCAAAGCGCGATCCATCAAGATCGGGATGCTGATTGAATCGTAGAACTTCTTGATGTCCAAGTAGATGGAGCCCCACGCTTGCGTTCCATCCCATGCACTGCTTTCGCCCATGGCCATGCTGAAAAGAGCGGCCTGTAGGGCTGACGACTGGGCCACTGCTGCATCCCAGAAGGCTGCCTTCTTGCTGCTCGACTCTGCCATGGTTGGTTGTCGGATACGCCCCCAGAGTCGCATTGGTAAAGGTGCCAAGCCGATCGGCCTCTCGTCTCCGACTTTCAAGTTGGGTCCCTTGCGTAGAAGTTCATACCAAATATGTAACCATTGGTGCGGCCATGAAAGGCTTTGCTCGCATCTGGTGAGCAAGTCTGTCAATTCCTCTTTGGCCTGGGGTGCCAACGCCTTCAGATGCTGCACTTTCCACATGTCCGAACCTTGGCCTGAGGAATTGGGCGTCATCCTGAGAGCTGCTTCCAATTGGTCCAAGGTGATGGGTTCGCGCTCAGCAAGGTCTGCTTCAGCCCATGCGCGCAGCTTCTGCATCTGTGCCTTAGGCTCGTTGTACTCGTCGTGCTTGGTCCATCTTGCTTTCCATTGCCTGGCTCTCGTTTCCACCGCACTTTGTAAGTTGGCGATAACTCCACTGCTGTCGGGGTCGATGCACAGCTCAGGGAGCGAGAGGGATTCGGGCCGCTTGAGATACCCATGCGCTTCCTTCATGTTGCCGCCCATGGCCTTCCTTGCCCAACGGTGGATGCTCTGCTTCGCGTTCTGCCAAGCTCGCTTGCCGTGTCGCTCTGCCCGCTGCGCCGCTTGAAATACTGCTTCACTCCACAACTGATGGTCTGTGTCCAGCTCTGTCTTGCGAATAATATCCAAGGCCAAAGAGTCTTCTTTCTCGTCTTGGCGCACACAGTTGAGGCTGGACGGTGGCAATGGTGGGTACTCCAACGATTCTATGTGCGACAATTGAGATCGTAACATTCCTCGCAATTGCTGCTGTCGAATAGAGTTCTTTGAAACAGCCATTTGCCGTAAGAGAGATCCCATTTCCACCCAGCGGTCGTGTCTGGCTTGTTCTGGTTCCTGCGTGCGGTGCTCACGCCGTGGGGCTACTAGGACCAAGCGGTACTTCACTGGCCGTCCTCGAACCGTTTTAACTTGGTCCTCTCTGTCGCACAGAATGGCCAGGGTATGGTCTGCTGCTTGTGCCCATCGAGTGTACTGCCCGCCCAACTGCACGCTGCTCACTTCTGTTAACTGGAAAGCCAAGCTGTCCACCGTTGTTTTGTCTGGGCTGAATAGTTCACAATGTTCTGTCTGCCTTCGAATATCTTGCCATACATCGTCCGAGACCGTCGCCAATACCTCTCTGGAGTACGTAGGTTCAAGGAGCTTGTCGATGTCTGCTCGTTCTCGTTGGAGAGCTTGTTGTTCTTCCGACAGGTCTGTGTCGTAGATTAAATCGTCCAACTCTGGCAGGTGCTCCGTAAGCTTTGCATGCTGCTCTCGGTCTCGTTGTTTCCTCTTGGTGCCTTTCTCGACGTGCACCGTGATGTATGGTACTTTGTGCTGCTCTGCCCTCACAGGAGACAAGATCTGTAACTTGGCTGGCTTCCTTGCGATACGGATGTGCAAACCAACATGAGGTCTCCACGGAAGCTTTGTTACCGCCATGACCCCACCCAAGAAAGGCCTGAAATTTGGTGGGCAGATTACATAATCTAACATGCGCCCTCTGCCACTGGTACACGTGGCATCGATGTTCGGGCAGACTGGGGTAACTTTGGGCTTCTTCGCCCACGTGGACTGCATGAACTCATCTGGGGTAACATTCCAATCACCCACTGCCATCCACGGTGTAGAGATACTAGCTGTCAACTGTGTCAGCTGCTTCATCTTCGCTGCATTGGGCCCAGTCAGGCCTGGTCCGCTGTCGAGGTATACCACGAAGAGTGT